AGAGTGTGTGGACTGGCTTAACAAATTCAGAGACTATGGAGATGAGGAGCTCAGAAAGGGCTGTGAGTAAATGTACAGTATTTGTATTTGTCGATGATCTGCAGCTGTAATAGAGATATAACTCACTGATAAACTGTTTTCTGTGTTTTCAGCTCCTCCAGAAGTTCATGTGTTTGCAAAAAGGTGTACCAGTGACAAAAGCAAGCTGAAACTCACCTGTCTGGCCACTGGCTTCTACCCCAAAGATGTGATGTTGACCATAAGGAAATATCGCACATCCCTGCCTGAAGATGAGATTGAATCCTCAGGAGTCAGACCAAACCATGATGAAACCTTCCAGCTGAGGAAGAGTGTGGTTATCAAGGAGGATGAAAAAGCAGAATTTGATTGTTTTGTGTTTCACAGTACCCTAAAAGGACCAATTATCATTAAATGGGGTAATAAAGTATATAGACAGAAATATCACATGCAAATGTCATAAACCAAAAGACTTTTAAGTTATGAACTTACATTTTCACCTTTTTTATGCTTGTCATATCCTTAATAAGTTCAGAGAGTTAAAATATCTATCTTTTTGATTTGTATAGATGGAAAATGCCAGGACTGCCCACCAGAGACTATTGCAGGTATGATTGGAGCAATTATTGGAGCAGTGATTGTGCTGGCAGTCGTTGTAGTAGTGGTTTTCGTCTTAAAGAAGAAAAAGATTATTGGTGAGTAGTGACTGATTAATGATAATCCAAAAACATTCTTATATTCAGTTTTGTGTTTTCAAAGGAATAATTTTCAACAAGAAGAAAATTTTGTCATTGTTTGTAGTCGTTATATAATGCTTTTGAGTTCCACTGAACAAACAGCATACAGGTGTTGAACAAATTGTGAGCGAATGATGACATGACATTTCATTTCATTTCATTTCACTATTCCTTTAACAAATAAAGATCCAAATAGATATGTTTGTACTTGAGATAAGATTACAGGAAGTAATTTCCTTTAACATGTTTCTGTCCCCGAGCTTTTGGACCATTGTTATTTTTACATTAGTATTACAGTGCAAAGAGTATTCAGAATACATTTATTTTTTCTGTCATGCCCTTTAGCTTTCAACAGCAGGAATGGCCAGACACGTAGCAGTGATGAAGAGAATGTTTCTCTGCAAGGTACAAGTTATCCCATTCCCAATATGTAATCAGTTTTATGCACCAGGCTATGTTAAAAAAACACTTTAACATCTCACTGTTTCTTCAGCAGAACCAGCGAATGCTAGTAATAGATCAGACAGCAATGCGTGCTCATCTCAGGTGGATGGAACCCCTTCTGGTAAATATGTTTTAAGATATTCCATTTACCAGGGTGATGTTAATTGTATGTATATACAAATTGTTAATTAAATGTCCGCTGTAAACATTGTTAAAAAGAATGTGGAATCAAAATGTAAATATAAGTAAAATGTCCAGGCATTGGTGATACATGTCCAGTAGAGATACATTTTAATATGCAGTTCAGAATCTCTGATGTGACTTGTATTGCTGCTTAACTTGAACTTATGATTGTTATGCTACATCTAGAAGACGGACTCAATACAGTAAAAGCAGAAAGGGAGCACAGTGCTGACTCTGACTCTGGTGAATATGTCACTCATGCTTTTCTTTAAATAATGCACCAAAATAAGAATGCATCATTTAATACATAATTTGTCTTCCTGTAATCTAAACTGTTCTCATTGTGAATCTCATTGCACACACACACACAGCAAAGCATCATGAGTTGTATATGCAAGCTTTTCACCACTGTACATGCTGCTTTTTTCCTTTTCCATTTTTTGTATTGATTGATTGGTGCATCCCTAGTTATTATGGCATCTCATGCACAGCACTGAAGAAACACTGACATTTTACTGTTTCTCAACAGGACAAGAGAGTGCTGGTTCAACTCCAGACAGCAGTCCTACTAACTCTCAGGAGGCAGTGAACCACGTGGTAACTATATTTTACATGTAATATCAGTGCAGCTAGATGGATCACATTGACACTTTTCTGTTTTTCCATAGGCTAGGGTAGCACAGGAAAAACATCACGTGGTCAGCAAAATGTAAGATTAGCCTTGTTATGGGGTTAGGGGTTTGAGCTAGCAGGGATAGGGAACCAGTGGGAGGTGCAGAGAACAGAAGTTACATGTGAATATTTGGGAAGGCTGAACATCAGCTGGAGACTGCAGCATCCTGGATGAACTGCAAATGTTTGATTACATACACCTGGATAGATATGACCCAAAGCAAGTTAGAGTTATCAGACAAAAGCAGACTTTAGGGTCAGTACCAGGATGTGGATAGCTATTTTTGCTGAGGGTCCCTACACACTGAAGTGAACTCTACATTTGGGGATACTGGAAATCCATTGGTTTCAAATAGGATGGTGTAATCTGGTGTAGCTAGCTCTGAATAAAAAGTGTCTTGGATATATACTCACATGTAAAATATCAAACGTCGGTTGCTTAATATTTAGCCACTCTATGGCGTTATTTTAATGACAAATGTCGAAAGCGCATTATTGTAGCGCGAAAGCACATTAATACAATGCGCGAGCGCGGATCTCTCCGCTCGCGTGCGGATTTCCTTTGCTCTCGCACAAAACCGGACGCGCGCGCTCAGATACACGCTGCTCTCGCCCGGAGAGAGTGCACGCACTTAAAACGTGTCTCCTCTCACTCAAACTGTGTCCTGTGCACTCTCAAATCTCTGTGCTCATGCGCTATAGATATTAATTCTTTTCGCACCTGAATTAAATGTTGTCAAAAGTTATCAACCAATCAGATTTCAAAGATGGATCTGTAATTTCTTTACAATTTAATACTACTTAGTCATAATATTAGAAATTAAAGGGGTGTTTGGATGATTTGACTTAGTCATAATATTAGAAATGAAAGGGGTGTTTGGATGATTTGTAAATAACCTAGTTTAACCGTTTGGTCAAACCCTTCTGAACGATCTAAACAAACAAAAAAGCATAGCGCTCTCGACATTTGTCATTAAAGTAACGCCATACCACTCCTAATAGTAAATTCAATGACAAATATTTATGTCTGTGTTTCAGTGTGAGGACTCCAGTGGTCAAAGCCGGCCTGCAGAAGCACAATCACTGCTACAACAGGACAAGCCATGATTCAGAGCATCACTGAACATTTGTAATGGCAGATCTGTGGTATTTGTCATTGTCAATGCTGACAGTCCTGACAATAATTAAGTTTTTGGAGGTTGCTTGTAACCTCCAACTAATTCTTTCTGTCTTTCTCATTTTTCATATAATCTGGAATTTCTTAAAACACTTTGCTTGAGAAAATGATGTTTTCCAGATTAAGTACCCAAAGAAAAATATTTGTATATGAACAGAGCTGATTTTTCAGACTTATTATTGCTACTTATAAAGGGCCAGAGTGGACACATTTTCATCATATTTGATATGTTTAATACCATCATTACAAATATTTGATAGTTGTAGTATCAATGAAAATAATTGGTATGGAGCATACTTGAGAAATTATCTAATTTCCTAATAATTATCTGGAATACTAATATATAAATGAGATCAATTTTTTTTTTATACTCTTAAATGTCTTACTCTGTAAAAATTGTTAATATTGTGATCGTTTTACATTAGTTGATTAATTTTGCTTTAATACTCTACATTTATACAGGCAATGATCATTACAATCATTCTTCATGATACCAAATGGATCAGTGGTATCAATGAATGTCTGTCGGCTATGTGGGATCCATTTATTCTCAATATATATAGTATAAACATGGTTTCACCTGTTTTAAGAAAACAATTTCAGCTGTTTCCACTGTCAGAATGGACTGTCCAAATCTGATTTCTAATGTTTTACTGTTTACTTCATGTAAACAATTGTACAGAGTCAGACACGTGGTTTTGTTTCTGACGTTTCTATAAATGTCTGCTAATCTAAATCTGTTTAATGCACTTTAGCTATCGCTTATTTGTTAACATTTTGATAACAGCAAATAAAACCAATAGGCATGGAGAAAGAATTGGTTACTGTGAATGAATATTGATTAAAGACTTATTTTAACAATATTGTTGTCGTTTTTTTTTTAAGTAACACTCTAAGTGAAGGGTTTCACTGAGTGATCCAACGTTGTTGATTTAGTCTTGCTCCATCAACTTATGCCCAGATACAGATATTATCGTTATACATTTTTAGTTTTAGTTAGAACCTCATCCACCAATTTCTGCGATCAGTTTCCAGCCACCCGTCCATTTATTCTCCAGACCGCTTGTCCTTTGCATGGTCGCAGGGATGCTGGAGCCTATGTCTCAGGACGATCACGGGGAATGTTTTTGCGTTCAGACGTTGAAGTACCGGTATAAATTGGTATGAATTTTATTTGTTTACATGGGAGTTTGCAATAGTGACAACAGCATTCTGTAAACAAACCAACACACTCATTTTCCGTGACACCCTGCTTGTAGTATATGTAGTGAATGGTTCATGTATTGTTGTTGTTTTTTTAACCATAAAATGAGACGACACACAGGTGACTCTAGAACTCACATGCTTTTTCTTTTATTACTTCCATGTTAAGCACTTACCATTACGTATTACACTTGAATACATTACATCCCCCTCTTTTTTTTTAAACAGTTATCAAAACATTAAATAATGCATTAACCACATAAGCGTTATTGCTTATAATTAAGCATTTACGCTGATGCATTTAAGTGACTATTTTAGTGTATTTTATAGTCTCTGAATCTTGAAGGAAGTTTAACTTCTCTTCCAGATTTAGTGATGATGATTGGCTTGCTCTCAGATGATCTTTCTTGACGTGTTTGCTCCACCACAACAGGTAAGTCTGGATTAATTTTGCTTTCCAGGTTTGCATTAGTGTTTGACTCATTGTCAAAGTCATCTCGATCACTTGTTGAAGGAAATTATTGTTCTTTTGTCTTTAATATATGCCTTCTGTTTCCTTCTATAAATCCTTCCATCAAGTGTGTGAACAATGTATGACTGTTGTGTTCATGAGTAATGTTGTGTTACGGACTGCTATTTTGAACCAGAAGTTTTACTGTTTAGGTCATGCTTGAGGAGGAAACTGGTATTAAAATAAGAAGAGAGATTTGTTATTACTGACTCGTTACTGCTCAATAACTCCTGACAGAGGCCACAATGACCTTGGAGGATCATGTTTCCAGATTTGTCCTTGCTGTATCCTCACTTTGTCTCCTGGTGATCTGACAACTTCTCTTCCAGATCTGACAATTGCTTGGTGTTTTTGTCATAATAAAATTTCTACTTCGACTGTCTTTGTTTGAGTTTTTATATATTTTTTTATTTGTTTATTTCCTTTTTGAGTCAACTTCCTTTGGTGGAAGTTGGCAGTTTAATTTTCAACCTTCTCCCCATTAGAAGTTGTGCTGGTGACATTCCAATGCCATCTAATGGAGTATTGCGATATTCCAGTAAAGCAATATATGGATCTCCATTCTCACTTTGTGACTTCGTAAGCATTCTCTTGATTGTCTGAACCATTCTTTCTGCTTGTCCGTGTCAGGAGTCCCTGTGTTTCTCCCTCTCACCACCAAAGGTCGCCATCTCCCTTCCTCCCAGACTCCACTCACCTGTCACTCATTATTACACCCTCAGCTATTCCCCATTGTCACAGACTATATATTCTCCTCTCACTCACCACTCTGCCTGGCTGAATTATTGTAATGGTAGTTGTATTTCTTGTTTGTAGGTTGTGGATGCTAGCACTTTCTGGTGCTCTGTTGCCGTATTTGTATCCCGGTCCTGTTCTTGGTTGAGTTGTTTTTTGTTTCTGTTTTGTTTTGTCTTTTTTTGTTGATTAAATCTAGTGGACTCAGACCCTGTTTTTTCTACGGTGCTCTCTTACCGCCCCGTGACAGAATTCAGCCAGCAGACATGGGTCCAGCAGGGAAACTCTTCAACATCCGTCAGGGAGACCGGAGTATTGAGGAGTACACCAGGGACTTCTTTGGAGTGGCTCATCGGTCGGCGATGGAGAAGATCTGCCTCATGGTCGTCTTCTGGGGAAGCCTGGCTGAGCCCTTCAAGTCCCTAATGCCATACTGGGTCCCCGATGAGTCGCTGGAGGACTACATTAACCTGGCTCTGCATTTGAGCGGCTCAGCCTTCAGGGTGGAGTTAGCTGCGGAGCCCGCTCACAGTCCTCCTGAAGCGGCAATCCAAAGGGTGTCAGAGGCCTCATCTGCCGCACCCAGTACCTCACGCCCGTTCTCGGAGCGTCCCGGGCTGATAAGCAGCGTGCAGGAACCCCCGCTGATGTCATTGCGAGCAGAGTGGTCTGCTCGCGGTCCTCCCAAGTTCCTCCCAAGGTCCTCCCTCCGGTGTCCGCTCACAAAGTTCACAAATCTCCCAAAGCGGCGGTGTCTGCTCACAGTTCCCCCGAGTAGGCGGTTCCCGCTCACAATGCTCCAGAGGCAGCCGTGCCCGCTCACAATGCTCTCGAGGCGGCGGTGCTGATGTTCCCTCCAAGGCGGAGGAGCTTGTTTCAGGCCTTCCTGAAGCGGCGTAGCCCGCTGATGTTCCCTCCGAGGCGGCAGAGCTCGTTTCAGGCCTTCCCGAAGCGACCGTGTCCGCTCACGGTTTCCCCCGAGGAGGCAGCGCCCGCTCACAGTTCCCCCCGAGGCAGCGGTGTTCGCCCACAAATCTCCTGAAGCGGCTGTGTCCGCTCACAGTTCCCCCCGAGGCGGTGGTGTCCGCTCACAGTTCCCCCCGAGGCGGCAATGTCCGCTCACAGTTCCCCCAAGGCAGCGGTGTCTGCTCACAGTTCCCTCGAGACGGCGGTGTCCGCTCACAGTTCCACCGAGACGGCGGTGTCCGCTCACAAATCTCCCGAGGCGGCGGTGTCCGCTCACAAAGCTCCCGAAGCGGCGGTGTCCGCTCACAGTTCACCTGAGGCGGCGGTGTCCACTCACAAAGCTCCCGAGGTGGCGGTGTCCGCTCAGAGTTCCCCCGAGATGGCGGTGTCCGCTCACAGTCCCACTGAGGCGGCGGTGTCCGCTCACAAATCTCCTGAAGCGGCGGTGTCCGCTCACAGTTCCCCCTGAGGCGGCAGTGTCCGCTCACAGTTCCCCCAAGGCAGCGGTGTCTGCTCACAGTTCCCCCGAGGTGGCGGAGTCCGCTCACAAAGCTCCCGAGGTGGCGGTGTCCGCTCACAGTTCCCTCGAGACGGCGGTGTCCGCTCACAGTTCCACCGAGGCGGCGGTGTCTGCTCACAAATCTCCCGAAGTGGCGGTGTCCGCTCACAAAGCTCCCGAAGCGGCGGTGTCCGCTCACAGTTGCCCCAAGGTGGCGGTGTCCGCTCACAGTTCCCCCGAGGCGGCGGTGTCTGATCACAAATCTCCCGAAGTGGCAGTGTCCGCTCACACTTCCTCCAAGGCGGCAGAGCTCACCTCTGGTCTTCCCAAAGCGGCAGTGCTCGCCTCCGGGGTTCCCGAAGCGGCAGAGCCCGCCATTGCCCGTTCCAAGATGGCAGCTCCACACACACCGCTGTGGTGGCCGCTGGTTCTGCCCTGGGTCCCCATCCCGCCGGCTCTGCCCCAGTCCCCAGGTCCCCCAATACCACACGGACCTGGGCCCC